GCCGTGCCCGCGCCCCGCACGGGCGGAACGTACCATGTGCTGCGCGCTCCCCTCCAAAGTTCCTGCTCCAGCGGCGAGGCGCCCGCTCCTTCGGGAGCCGCCGGCCCTCGCCGTGGACCCTGCCCCGCTCTGCTGCCCGGCGCCGCCGCCTCTCGCGCTCGGAGGCTGCCGGGGATGCCCGCGCAGGCAGTGCGGGCTCGCCGGCCTCTGCGCGCTCGGCTCCCTTCGGCAGCTTGTTGCAGTCTGTTTTCTGAGAGGGGAACCCCGGGGCTGTGCRGCAGTCCTGGCAGCTGAGGAAAAGATAGGAAAAGGTTGAGGAGGAATATGGACCCGCTGACAGCGCTGCTGGGGATGGCACCGTTTGCTGGTTCCTGCAGCAGAAGGCGCGGCTGGGATTGCTCCTCAGCCTTTCGGGATGGTCCGTGGACAATCTGCCCGTCTGGGCTGTCCCTGCGTGTCAGGAATAGGTGCTGGAGCCAAGGCCCTTCCTGGGGCCAGGCATAACTCRCGGCAGGAGAACAGCAGTTGGAGTGGGCAGCGTGACCCTGACTGGCAGGAATTGCTCCAGGGAAACACTGCTCGTCACCCTGGGTCTCCAAAGCAGAGTTCCACTGTGTTGTTATGGATATGCACACGCATGAGAGTGCCTGCACACGGGCACATGTGCATCCCTTCTCCGGGTTTATTTGTCCATACCTGGGAGTGCAGGATAGCTTAATAAGAGTCAGTGGTTGCTGAAAATGTTTTGTCAGGGAGAGAGAGGAGGAAATGTCACGGTTCCCACTACTTGCTGCTAGTCCGTAGCCTCTCTCAAAGGGCAAAAGCTTTGCTGGGCTTATGGAGACTTTATTAAAATATTTTCAGCAGATCTTTTAATATTTTTACTGGTATGTCAGGCTAGATTTAGGTGCTCTGAACACTCCTTGAACTCATCTGCTTCTGAAACAGGGTGTTGTTTTGTATTCTGTATTTCTGCAGTGTAAATGTGAGTAGATGTTTCCCCCTTACAGAGAACCGAATGACACTTCCCTCTGCTCTGCAATTGGTTAGGGATGGTACTGTGATGAAATGTGATTCTTTTTTTAAACACCGTTGATTTAATTATATATATRTGTGTGTATATATACATATATATATGATTTCAAGTTTGCTAAAGGTATTAGGGATTTACCATACTGAAGCAGAGGAGTAGCCCTTATTCAAAGCTTGTGAAGTGTTTCSTTAGCCTTATTGCAGGCAAAAATCATACTTTTTTTTCTATTTGATATAAACCACCGTAGCAACCTTTGTTTTATTTTTGATTTCCACAGCCAACATTGCATGTTCTCATGAACAGCCTATAGCTGTGAGCCATAGGCTGCTGTGAAATGTAAGGAGCTTTCTCCTGCAGCCTRTGAGTGAACAGCATGAAAACCATCTTATAAAAGTGTTTAACCTGAACTCTCTGTGGCCATAAATTCATTAGGAGAAAGGGGTCTTTGCTCCTTTGGGTGATGAGCATGGAGAAGTGCCTCATGAGGGAGAATTAGCTGTGTGGGGGATTTCTATGCACAGTTCCTCCAGCTCTTTTAGAAGAGATTTAACAGGTAATTGCAGAATATTCAAGTGAACTTTGCTCCATAGGTCTATGTCAGTCAGTACCTGTGCAGGAAGGAGATGATTTTGTATCTCAAGTTTCCAAAGCAATGGTCTCGATACATGAGAAACACCGCATGATTTCACCTGAATGCTAAGACCTTGAAAACAAATTTTATCAAAATCTTTACTACTGCAGTTGAGGACAATAACCTTCCTTTTGAGAGGCCAGAATATGACCTAGCAAGCACGTGTCCTTGGGTGGCTCCTGCCGCTTTTTAACGTTGTTCCTGCCTTTAAGGTAGGGCACCATTCCAGTGGACCACTGTACTTCTGTTTTAATTTTGTTTTGCCTAAATGACAACCTAATGATTATTGTAATATTTGAGAAGTGATTGTACACATGCAGACTGCAAACAGCAAAACTTTTTTTTTAAACCATGTCTTGGATTTGGAAAATGTTTTGGAAATACTTAAGAGTTTTTGAATACTTTTTATACCCTTAAAAATATGATTTAAAAAATAAGAATATACTGCAGCAATGGGAGATTAAAACTCACAGGATTTGCCAGTGGGAAAAATGAATTAATGCAGACAATCAGGTAGTGTATCTGAACCGTTCAAGAATGGAGCRGTGTTTCAGTGCAGTAAAATTTGTGAGGCTTAATTAACATTTCCAGAAGGACTTTTTCTTAGAGGAAGCATGCTGTGCAGGTACAAAAGTTGTACTGCATTCTAATGTGCCCATAAATGCCAAGTTTTGTTCATCTCAAYGTGATGTTTTATATAAAATAATTTGTTCTCTGCATATTGATTACAATTTGCAAACAGAAGTAGGAGTTGGACGTGCTTGGCAATACTGACCACAGTTTGGGGGAAGAAGTTTGTGGCTATGAAGGGAACAGATAGTTGAGTGAGGGGTATTTTTGGGGGTTCCAAGATGAGGTGGATGCCTTTCCTCAATAGCTTGTTGCAGCTTTATTATTATTAAAAGCTGACATGAGTGATTAGCTACTGTTTACTTGCAGTGTTAGAGCTGCCTTATGGCTTTTGCACTCATCCTAGGATATACTYAGCTAAATGCAGTAGTAGCTGGGTAGTGCTCCACGTTTCAGAAATTTGGGATACTTCAAGTTAGGTTGGATAGTTCAAATTTCTCCTTATGGAGATAGCACTGGCAAGATTCTAGGCACAAAAGTTTTTCTATTAAACCCAAGCACTCTTCCTGCAATGTTGTGCATTTTTCAACCTTAAGTAGCAAGAGTTATTTTTTCCTTTGAATAGTTAGCAAAATATTTATATACCTGCATGTCAGAAAAGCAGGTTAATAATTATTTGCCATTTGCTTTTCTCCCCAGTGGGGTAAAGCTTAGAAACTGCACTTGCTCCACTGAGCTGGCCTTGGCTGCTGGCAGGATTGGTACCAAGCCAGTTCCCTCTGTAGGGGAAAGCAGTGGCAGAGTCTGGCTGGGCACCGTAGCTCTTTTGGGTGCCGAGAGGTTAAAAAGTGTAAAGAAAGGTTCCAGCTACCTGGTTTTGACAGCCCATGCATCCCGGAAATTTAATTACATATTAATGGCCGTTTTCTGCGTTATTAATGTTGCGAAATGGTCTGTGAGGGAGATGGTCTCAATTAGCCCTTGCATTAACTTTTGTCATTAATGTGTACYGGTATTGATGCTTTTAATTGCCTCAGACTTGTGGAGAGCTCAGAGTAATCACGCAGGGATACCTGCTTTGACTGCAGTCTCTTGTTGGAGGTCATGGCAATAAAGGACAGGTAGGCTTGTTTCAAATTAAAAAAAAAAATCAGAAATAGGACAACCAGTAGAAGGAAGAACTCTGTTTTTTTTCAAACCAGGAGTGTTTAGAGCCACTGCTATTTCTACCTAAGCCTTCCCTATTTAGGGGTAGAGAAGCCACTTGATTCTGTGACCCATTTTAAAAATCTTAGGGAGCTTCTACTCAGCTTCCTTGTCTGTCCATTTCTTTTCTGCTGCATAGCCAGGCCTTTATGGAAGGCAGCGAGAGATTAACGTGGGCACCAGGACATGGTGTTGAACGATCGAGCTTGTTAGAACGGTTAAAACKCAGTGTCAAGTGAATGTATTTTAATCTCGTTAATATCTGCTGATTTTGAGCAGGAAGCGTAGGACTGGGAGAAGGATCCCCTTAATGTACAGTATATGATAGGATTAGTTTAATGCATTTATTAAGGTCAAAATTGAAGACATTGTTTTTTCCCAATATATTGAATTGATTTTCTGAAGCCGCAATGCTAAAAGGAGTTGTGTTTTTTTTTTTTTTTTTTTTTTTCTTTCATGTCTTAGGGGAAGATATTATTATATTAGTTTGTAATGGTTCAGGTAATTGATTTATATTATTATATAATAGTTTTTTCGTAATCTGGATTGGAGATTACTCAATCCCCATTTCCTCTCATGCTCTTTTTTCTGAGTTTTGCTTCCATATCAATGTGGGTGTTTCCATTTCACCATGCAAGTGCTTCAATTCTGCTTCATCAGTCCTCTGTGGAAAAAAGGCTAAGGTTTGTTTAGTTTTTCCTGGTCACCATCCAAATGTGATCATTGCTATTTTGTCTATTAACTTTTTCAAATTTTAACTAACCTGATTTGTAACTGTTACCTCTATTACAGTAGTTCTTTAAGTCATATTCAGGCATACTTTCTCTGACATCCAAGGTGTACTTTTCTTCCTGCTTGTCTGAATGAATTTTCTAGTGCTTCACTGCAGAATATTTTCTGTAATCAATTTTTCCATCCGGTGTCAACTATGTGCCAAAGGCAGCCTAGCAGAAGGCAAAGAAATTTGTTRATGACAACCTCGAGAAATATCTGGAATATCATAGTTAACTGCTTTTTTTCTTTCCTGCCTGGAAAATTCGTCTTCCAGAATGACACACATCCTGGTTCTTTTTGTCTYTCTAGTAACAATATAAAGATTTCTGTATGTTTATATTTAATTGGGAAGATCTGTAATATTATCTCACTTTTCCTCCAGAAGAACTTCTTTATAATCCTTCCCTGAAGGGATGTTATATAAATTGACTCTGTTTTAATTTTACCAGCAAACGTATTACCTCTCTGTTAATGAACAGACCTGTTATGCTCACTTAATCTTTCCTTGTATGCAGCAYGCTTTGGGTAACTCCATACCTGTTTTTGTTCCTGCTGTCTTTTCCGCTTCCCATCTCCATAGCAGAACACAAGGAATGATTGAGAAGAGATGGTGAAGGGTGAAG